CCTACTGTTTTACACAGCTGGAAGAATTCATTCAAAAAGAACCTGGGACCTAATCTCAGTATCTTCCAAAGCTCTGCCCCTCCAGGACTGGCCAGGTTACTTTTAACTTTCCTTGAAGCAAAAAACAGACTTATTAAATATGGAATTTGTCCAAAACCACCTAATTTTTTTTTTTTTGAAGTACGTGGGCCTCTCACTGTTGTGGCCTCTCCCGTTGTGGAGCACAGGCCCCGGACGCACAGGCTCACCGGCCATGGCTCACGGGCCCAGCCACTCCGCGGCATGTGGGATCTTCCCGGACCAGGGCAGGAACCCGCTCCACAACAAGAGAAGCCACCGCAGTGAGAAGCCCGCGCTGCAACGAAGAGTAGCCCCTGCTTGCCGCAACTAGAGAAAGCCTGTGCACAACAACCAAGACCCGATGTAGCCAAAAATAGATTAATTAATTAATAATATTTTTTTAAAGGAAAGGGCTCAGTGACATCGCTTATAAGGAATAGAATGCCTAGATGGAGAAGAAAAGTCATCTCTTCCCCCAGAGATTTGTTCTGCATTATGCTCAGATGTTCAGATTTCAGGAGATGTTTATAAAGGAGACTAACTCAGAAAATCTGAGCAGTAATCGTGCATTAAACAAACCATTAAGTCTGTAGTTTCTCATCTCCGAGGTGCATATACTACTATCTACTTAATATGTTTCACAAATTTATTTTTATTTTATTTTATTTTATTTTTACGTCTACAGCACCCAATATTCCCAGGCAGTCTCTCATCCAAGTACTAACCAGGCCTGACCCTGCTTAGCTTCCGAGATCAGGCGAGATTCGGTGCATTCAGGGTCGTATGGCCGTAGACCACAAGGCTCTTTTTAAAATCAAATTATGCAATAGATATAAAAAATATTTTAAAACTTGATAGTACTCTTTACATGTAAGGTGGCGCTCACTGTTATTCTCACTTTCTAAATGTTGGAAGCAATCATGGTTTTGGCCAGCTGTGTCAGGAGAGGTAGAATAAAAGAAACCCTTGTTGGGAGGCTATCACCCCAGTTCTGAACCTTACCTTTGGGGCTTTAAGTTGTATGGTGGTAATTCTATGCTCTTCAGTTTCTTTCCCCAGTGTGCATTTATGGCAATAGAAGTTGAATATTCCCAGAATTAGTTCTTACTCCTTTGGGTAATTTGGGTTTGGATCCTGGAGAGTTACTCCCACCCAGTAGCCAGGACACGGAGTCCAAAGGCTTCAAGTCTCTCTGCACTAGCAATTGGATTCTTTGTCCAACACCCATTGAGCTTCCATATGTCACTGTGAGAGCTCCTGGGTTTGCTTGTGTTTCTTTAGTAAGCGCTTAAGGAGAATGGAGACCAAACCCCCATGGAGAAGTATCTGCTTTTCCACTCTTATTACTCTCACCTTCAGGGTTTATTTAATTTCTAAATACCTCACCAAAAATAAATATTTGGAGGCTGCACCATTTAGCAGAAATAAGGCAGATACACTCAGATGCCTCTCAAGCAAAGAATAACATTGGAAAGAGTTGATAGCAAAAAAAAAAAAAATGCAACCGTGGGCTACATAAAAGCTCTTTTAAATGGTGTATATTGTGCTTGATGAATCCCTACTAGGGGAAGATCGTCCTACTGGCTTTGTGAATTGAACTAGTCTTCCGTGTTCATGGTGAGGTAACTTTTTATTGTGGTTAAAAAAACACATAACAGGTCCTACTGTGTAGCACAGGGAACTATATCCAATCTCCTCGGATAAACGATAATGGAATGTAAAATAGTTAATGGGAAGCAGCCGCATAGCACAGGGAGATCGGCTCGGTGCTTTGTGATGACCTAGAGGGGTGGGATAGGGAGGGTGGGAGGGAGGCTCGAGAGGGAGGGGATACGGGGACATATGTATGCATATGGCTGATTCACTTTGGTGTACAACAGAAACTAACACACACACAAAAACAGATTATTGAAAAAAGAATGTCTATATGTGTAAAGCTGAGTCACTTTGCTGTACAGCAGAGACTGGCGCAACGCTGTTAGTCAACTCTACTTCAGTGTAATCATGCATAACAGAAAATTTACCATCGTAACCATTTTTAAGCATATAGTTCAGTAGTGTTACAGTACATTCACACTATTTTGAAATAGATCTCCAGAACTTTGTCATCTTGCAAAACTAGAACTCTATACCCATTAAACACATGGTGATATAATTTTTTTGTTTGTTTGTTTGCTTTGTTTTGTTTTTTTTGTGGTACACGGGCCTCTCCCCTGTTGCGGAGCACAGGCTCTGGACGCGCAGGCCCAGCGGCCATGGCTCACGGGCCCAGCCGCTCCGCGGCATGTGGGATCTTCCCGGACCGGGGCACGAACCCGTGTCCCCTGCATCGGCAGGCGGACTCTCAACCACTGCGCCACAAGGGAAGCCCTGGTGATGTTATTTTTAAGAGCTTAGTATATTCAAGGAATTCAGAGGGACTCCTGGCCCTCCACTGCCTGCTGGGTCCGCAGAGGTGCAGTCAGAATGGACATGGCCTGGGCACTGGGAGTCCCCTGAGGAGGCCCAGCACTGAGTGCTCAACTACTGGGTCCAAAAGTGCTAAGAATAATTGACAGAGAAAGGGATTCCCAAAATGCTGCTCTGTGCCAGCACGCCTTGCTGAGATAGCGGAAAGACATTGCTGAGAGTATGTGTCAGAAAGGACCCCGATGGTCCTAGACTTGGGATGTGGGACAGGGAACACGGGCTGCCCTGAGGGATGCTGCATTCTCAGGGTACCTGGCTGCCGGCTGCAGCACTAGTCCACTTCCTAGGCTAGTGTGGCATGTCAGTCCTCTGCTGTCATTTACTGAGGAAATCTATTCTCTGTCAAAGGAATTGCAACTTGTATTTTTCTTCTGGTTAGAAAGAACATGTTCCTAAGGCCATTTTGAAATCATTAGAGTCATAAACAGCGGATGTGAGCTAAAATGCCAACTCAAAGCATCTTGGCTCACCTACCACTAGTTGAACTAGTTGGAGCATCTAAGATGATTTCCTAAATTAGCTACTGATTGTGGTCAGAGTGTCAGACATACAACTACATACAGAACTGTGTGATTAGTAAATTTGTGTGATTTTAAGCCAGTAAGTTTGGAGTAACTTGTTCAGCATCAGAAACTAATGCAGTACAAGTAGCCATGATACTTTGAATATGTGTGATAAAACAAGGATAAATACCTATAGTTTGATTTATTTTTATTATTTATTTTCATTAATAAACCACAGACGAACCCGCTATTTGAAGCTTTTTAAAGTGATAAAGGAATCTAAAGGCAGTGATAAATATGTCTTAGGTGCCCATCCTTTTCCTGCCATCAAAGAGGAAAAATGGGGACTTCTCTGGCAGTCCACTGCTTAAGACTTCGCCAATGCAGGGGGTGTGGGTTCGATCCCTGGTCGGGGGAGCTAAGATCCCACATGCCTTGTGGCTGAAAAACCAAGACATAAAAAAAAAAAAAAAAAAACAATATTGTAACAAATTAAAAAAAGAATTTAAAAATAGTCCACATCAAAAAAATCTTTAAAAAAAAAAAAAAAGAGGAAAAAGCGTGTTTAGAATGAAAGTAAAGGCTATTAAGTGGTTCCGGGTGCAAGAGCAGTTTAAGAGGAATGGTGCTGTTATTTATTTTTTTAATTTACTTTACTGAAGTATAGTTGATTTACCATGTTGCGTTAGTTTCTGCTGTATGGTAAAGTGATTCAGTTATACATATATACATTCTTTTTCATATTCTTTTCCATTATGATTTATCACAGGATACTGAATATATGGGTGCTGTTATTTAGATTTGATTTTGATCAGCCTGCTGAGACAGACACCTACTACCCCTTTCAGTGTACTTTTTTTTTTTTAATTTATTTTTGCAGCATTGGGTCTTCATTGCTGCACGCAGGCTTTCTCTAGTTGCAGTGAGCGGGGGCTACTCTTTGTTGTGGTGCGCAGGCTTCTCATTGCGGTGGCCTCTCCTGTTGCGGAGTACGGGCTCTAGGCACATGGGCTTCAGTAGTTGTGGCTCACGGACTCTAGAGCGCAGGCTCAGTAGTTGTGGCGCACAGGCTTAGTCGCTCCGCAGCATGTGGGATCTTCCCGGGACGGGGCTCGAACCCGTGTCCCCGCATTGGCAGGCGGATTCCCAACCATGGCGCCACCAGGGAAGTCCTTAGTTTACTTTTAAAACCATGTAATGTCACAGCCTAAGATTTAGTGTTCACAAAAAGGAAAATATGTCCAATAGCACAGCACTTCCAAATTGTTGGGCGTGCCTTGGACTGAATTCTCATATATTATATTACCAACCTGTTCCATTCTGCTTCAGTAAGGATCAGTCCTGGTCTTAACATTTTTTTAAGTATTTGAGAGATTTAGCTGAAACGGCTGCCTTTAAGGGAAATCTCACATAATTTATTTCTGCTTCAGCCTCAGGAATTGTCAAAACAAGAAAATACATACTTTCACATTTGATTATTAGCCCTGTATTTGCTTACATATTTATTTATTTATCAATCTGTTTCAATAAGAGACTCTTAAAAGACACAGGTTTGGATGATCTAAAGGATTTCTCTATTTTTGGAGTAGATTTTGCTGTCTCCTCTTGATAATTAATTTGCCTTCTCAAAAATAACCATAATTTCTTCGTGAACAAGGTAATGTTTTTCTGAATTTGTATTGCAGTTTACACCTAACGTGTTGCTTTTTTTCCCTGAGGCTCTCAAAATAATATTGAAAAGAATCAATCCATTTAAAACTAAATGGTTATCAAGCATATACCCATGATGATAAGTGATAACTAAATTATAGGAAGGAAAACTGTGGTTTCTGCTTGGGTTGTTGGTCTTCTCTTTCTTACTGCATGTACCTAGATTAGTCTTCCACTTCCTGTAAATTAGAGTTCAAGCTTTACATCTTTTAAGCAAAGAGGAATGAATATATACTTTTTATTTTTACACCCAAACAGTTGCCCCTGATGACCCCAGCAGGAAAATAGATGGCGATACCATTATTTTTTCAAACGTTCAAGAAAGATCAAGTGCGGTGTATCAGTGTAATGCCTCTAACGAATATGGATATTTACTGGCGAACGCGTTTGTAAATGTCCTGGGTAAGCTCTCCCTTTATTAAAGACATGGCAAATTAAATTAATGACTGCTGTTGTTTTTCATTCATTCAGCAAAAATATATCAAGCATCTACTAGGCAGTGGCACAGAACTTGGAGCTGTAAGGGATATACAGAGATGGATAAGATACAAACCTTGCCCTAAAGGAAATTACAGTCTGGCCTTAACTTTCTTTCATAACATGGTTTTGACAATGGCAAATTCCTCATTGTAGAGGTAATCAAAGAGGTTGCTCTGTTCATAGACGGTTACATTGTGTCCAACCCCTCAAAAGGAAAACAGCGTAGGCCTGCTGTTCCTAACTGATGTGACTGCTTGTTCCATCCTTAGAAACTGACAAGCTGAATGACAATTTCATGATTCTGATTTTTGAAAGTAAGTCATTAATCATAATGTTTGGCTGTGGCCTGAGTCACGATGTACATTTATTTATCAATTCATAACAATATGTTTAGAAAACGGTGACATAAACATATTCTGAAAGGGTCGGGTTTATGTGAACATTGTATTTCTCATATGGGACAAAACTACTAAAATACCAAATTTGTTAAGAATTTATGTGAGAATTGTTTTCATGATGCCGGGGAATTATCTTTCACCTCTGTAAGTGGAGTAGGTTCCCTTTCAAACAAAATTAGGGTCAGGAAGCCAACCAATGTGTGGTATTTTTTCCTTCGTGCTTGAAATGAAGGTCAGTAAATCACAGGAAGAGCTGAGCCGTTAAGATGTTGATGGAGGGACAGGAAGCAGTTTTGATTCTGGTGCTGTTTTGAGTCATCAACATTCTGCTTTTTTTCTGCCGGCTTGGATGTTCGCCACCACACCCCCACACCCACCTCGGTTATTACCCCAAGGTTCTGATGGGCCGGTCATCCAACAAAAATGTATTTGGCCATTATTTTTTGTGCCAGACACTGTGCTGGTTTATGGGGAGGAAACAATAAAAAGTCCCATTCCCTGCCTGCAAGGAACTCACAGTGTAGTTGGAGAGATAGATAAAGAAATCAGATATTAAAATACTGGGCTAAGGGGAGAGATACATTGGCCGTGCCTTAACATGAATTCTAATGACCTGAAAAAAAATACAATAAAATACAGGTGGGCCTAAGTGTTTATTTTATTTTAATATTTACTTTACCTTTCCAAAACGTTTTTAGCTGAGCCACCACGAATCCTTACGTCTGCAGACACACTCTATCAAGTCATTGCAAACAGGCCGGCTTTACTAGACTGTGCCTTCTTTGGGTCTCCTCTACCTACCATCGAGTGGTAAGTAGTGGCCATATCTGTTTGTCATATTTACATTTGCCAAAGCCTTCAGATTTCTCAATATGTGGGGTTTTAGTCAGAGAACAGGAAAAAGGCAGGGCAGAAGCCATCCTATTAATTATTAAATGTGTTCACAAATATTTATTAACGACTCACTCTGTGGTAAATACTGTCACATGGATGATCTCTTTGGCAGCACGCTTTGTCCATCCCAGAGGGATATGTAAATGTTTTTGAAAAAAATTAAGGTGGCTGTATTTTGCAGTGCTACGGACGTCACCGGGGACGTCATGAATGGTGGCTAGAGGGACAGGTTGGGGGACATTCCTTGATAATAAAATATCATTTGGGGCGGACGCAGGGTCCATAAGCTTAAAAAACAGAATTGCTATTACCAGTGTTCCTCTCCCACTGAGTGTCCTGGCTTGGATCCAGCCAAGCGCCCCTGTATCCTTTCACTCCCTCTTCCGACCATCCCTTTTCACGTACCACTCGTGGTACAAGTCGTGCCACCCTCCCAGCTTGCTTTTGCATGAGCTGAAAGAGACAAGGCCAGGGGAGACAGCAGCTCAGAAAGAATGAGTGAAAGAAAATTGGAACATTCATTTATGGATTGTCTATCAGGTGCCAGACACTATGTGGGGCTCCACTTCCTGGTGTGAGATCAAAGCCAGGTGTAGGATGAAAGCCCAAACACGGATGCTTGTGCAGAAAATTTCCTAGCAAAGGAGATGGATTAACGCTTAGTTTCACACGGCTTTTCATCCATCCTCACTTCTCCCGTCTGACACTAACCTGAAAGCTCAATGTGGACATACTTTACATGCATACTTTCTTTTTCTCCTTCCCTGAATATTTTCCTATTTATACTCCCAGAAGTACAACCCTTGTAACCTTGAAGTCAGAATCTCTTTAGAATTGTAACGTGTAGATGGAGTTACAAAGACATCACAGTAGGGGGGAAAGGTCAAAAAGAGCAGTATTCACTGTGTCTATTTTATTACTTATTAGAGATAAAATAGGTTAATAATGTGTTTATTAAGTTATGAATCTCTTATAATGAAAATTACAAATTAAGTGTTTTGTATTGTCATCCTAATTCTTCAAGCACCATTTATCGCTGAATTCTCCAGTTTGACATCTGTCTTTGCATTAACCCCCCTGATTTACAAGCATGCAATATGCTTGTGCAGCTTCCAGACGTCTCTGACCTTGATACTATAATGCAGATCGTGTGGTGTGTTGGACCTTGAACAGGGCGTTTCATGTCTGACTTCAAATTATAATATTTGTATTCCTGTTTGTGATCATTTTCATAATGAAGGTTTAAAGGCGCTAAAGGGAGTGCCCTTCGTGAAGATATCTATGTTTTACATGAAAATGGAACTTTGGAAATTCCTGTGGCCCAGAAGGACAGTACGGGAACTTATACATGTGTTGCAAGGAATAAGTTAGGAATGGCGAAGAATGACATTCACTTAGAGATCAAAGGTGAGGCAGAGGTGACAAACATTTTTTCAGTATTATGAGACTTTGAGCAAATTCTCTAGCTTTTTTTAAAAAAAAATTTACTTTATTGAAGTATAGTTGATTTACATTGTTGTGTTAATTTCTGCTGTACAGCAAAGTGACTCAGTTACACATATATGCATTCTTTTTCATATTCTTTTCCATTATGGTTTATCACAGGATATAGAATATACTTGCCTGTGCTGTACAGTAGGACCTTGTTGTTTATCCATTCTATATGTAATAGTTTGCATCTGCTAACCCCAAACTCCCAATCCTTCCCTCCCCCACCCTCCTTCCCCCTTGGCAACCACAAGTCTGTTCTCTATGTCTTGATTCTGTTAAATTCTCCAGCTTTGGCAATGGATAACGGTAACTTTCCATTTCAGATCCAACGAGGATCATTAAGCAGCCTGAATATGCAGTTGTGCAAAGAGGGAGCACGGTGTCCTTTGAATGCATAGTGAAGCACGATCACACTTTAATCCCCACCGTCATGTGGCTAAAGGACCACAGGGAGCTGCCCAGTGACGGAAGGTATTTGAAGACAATTTCTTTCCTTTCTCTTCCTTCTCTCTTTAAGCTGCTCTTGAACGAAAGGTTTATTGTACAGTAACTTAATGGTTATGTTTTTAAAGTTTCTGAAGTCTGCTCTCTCTCCAGAGTAGATATACATTTTCTCTTCGTGCTATAGAATATTTGGATCTAAAAAGGTATCAAGTTATAGAAATAAGACCCTGACAATGTTTGTCTGTCTTTGTGTTGGTCTCCTGCGTAATTTAGGATGTGAAAAACCTTTCAGGTCTTGAACAACATCCATTGTTTTCTAACTTGTACGGTGCACTCTCAACAGATGTTTTCGTTCCCATTTTACAAATAAGCAGAAATACGATCTCTTTAATCATCAGAGTGAGCCTGAATCTTCGTCAGTATTTTACAGGACGCTAGTTTTTATTTGGATGGGGAGTTTTCATTTTACCTAAAGCGAGTAGAAGGAGGAGAAGAAAAAAAAACAGGTAAAGAATTTGAAAGAGCCGGAGCACATTGCATTCCTTTAGCTTGGTATGAAAGAAAGGTCATGCGCATTTTCCAGGTGAGGCTCTCGATTTGACAAAGTACACAGAGTCAAAGACGAGAATTTTAGCTGATACAGAGGGGCACAGGCATCACCCCGACGGGAAGGAGTGTTGTCTGCTGGTTTCTGTGGCTTCTTTCAACTGTGCCCAAATGGTGCCCTGTTGCTTGTAAGTGGCCCTTAAAAGAACTATGTGGGAATTTGGGATTAACGATACACACTACTGTATATAAAATAAACAACAAGGGCCTACTGTATAGCACAGGGAACTATATTCAATAGCCAGTAATAACCTATAATGGAAAAGAATCTGAAAAAAAGTATTATATATATATATATATAACTGAATCACTTTGCTGTATACCTGAAACATTGTAAATCAACTATAGTTCAATTAAAAAATAATAATTAATATCAAATTATTTTAAAATGCACACTTTGTTAGAAATTGAGCCAGACGAGTGGTAGCAGCAGAAGCCTAGGAAAGCCCTCTGTTCCGGGTAACTGGAGCTGCCCCCAGCTCAGCTCTAGATGCCCCTGGTCTTAAGGAAGCTCTATAACTCCAGAGGCGTGGTTGAAAGCCATCAGACTAAATGACGTGACATCATTTCTAACCCAGGCTTCTCACTCATTCAAAATGTTTGCCAACTTTACTCATTATCAAAGTGGCATGTATTGCATAGGATTTTGGCTCTAATGAGCTGCAAATCTTTATCATCTTTCCCTTTTACCAAGTTCACAGTTGCTTTCATGCCAGTAAAACCGTCATTGGGTGTGGTGGGATGTCCATTCCAGCCGCTTTGAGCGTGTGATAATTACAGGTTCACTGTTGACAAGGACCGTTTGGTGGTCGCTGACGTCAATGATGATGATGGTGGGACCTACACATGTGTGGCCAACACAACTCTGGACAATGTTTCGGCCAGTGCTGTGCTCAGCGTTGTCGGTAAGAGCTAGAACACATACAGCACAACTGGCTGCCCTGTTTTAGGTTGAAAGGAAAAATTGTCAGTAGTAACTGTTTGCTTGTTACAGTTTTAGCATTTTATAGGTGAGTTAAATACACACATCTTTCTTCTTTGAAAGATGCCTTTGAGGCAGTAATTTCAGTATAAATGTACTCTGTAGCAACACTGCAATTAACCGGTGGTTAAGCACATTAGTGATATTTTTATGAGAAAACTGGGGGGAAATGATCTACCTTTATTTAAAATCGAAGGGGTTTTCCCCCTATGTTGTTGCATGTTTATCGATGCTGTGTCTCACAGCTAAGCGTAAGGCTCAGTTTTATAATCTTAATCATGCCTACTCTTTGTCTTCTTGTGCTATATTATATCTGTCCACTACTAATTTTGATTAAACTCCTGTATATTACTGTCCTTTCTAGCTCCCACTCCAACTCCAGCTCCCATTTACGGTAAACTAATATGAGTCCTTTTCTCTGTTTTCTTTCAAACAATTTCACACGTACAGAAGAAGTCCATTACTTTCTTTTCTCTATCATGTCATTGTGTTTCTTTAAGGAAAAGGGCTCTGTCAGGTGTTCTGCCGTGTTGTCCATTTACTGCTATAAATCATCTCTTCATTATAATTCTGGAACTTTTCACTGAATATATTGCCACTCGCTTCCAAGTATTTCATGTGTTATTGCAAAGTCATTTCATTTGCTAAAAGGCCCTCTTTGACAGCATTTCCTTGTAAAGTAGCATAGTGCTTTTTCAAAAGCTATCGTCCATATTTTACAGACTGAAAAAGCAATTTCAAATATCATTCCACAACTTAGGTTTTCATTTCAATCGATTAAAAGTTGTTGTGGAGCTTCCCTGGTGGAGCAGTGGTTGAGAGTCCACCTGCCGATGCAGGGGACACGGGTTCCTGCCCCGGTCCGGGAAGATCCCACATGCCGCGGAGCGGCTGGGCCCGTGAGCCATGGCCGCTGAGCCTGCACGTCCAGAGCCTGTGCTCCGCAACGGGAGAGGCCACAACAGTGAGAGGCCCGCATACCGCAAAAAAAAAAAAAAAAAAAAAAAAGTTGTTCTGGAAAGCAAAATGTTGTTTGAGGATTCCATTTTCAAGAAATTTACATAGGAAAACAATGGATGCTTAGTACGACATTTGACCTTTCTATCAAAGAAAACCACCAACTCACTGTGTTCACAGAAGATAAATCACTAAAGAAAGACGAAAAGGAGGACACTTTCACGTAGCATGATTTTTCTGAGTCGGGAAGTTAAATCAATTTTTTTCCCGAAATCTTTTTAATTAAAGAACCCTCATGTTTATTCAACATATAAATACAAAAATTAATTTTGTGGTGAAAACTCAGCTGGATGTTACATAGTATTATGAATTATGCTGTAGAAGACCTGTCCTTTGTAGACATTTACTGCTTCTTTACTGGTAGGAAAGAAGTGCTTATATTTTTCTATGGCCTCTGGTTCCCCCAAGAACCAGAGTTACTGCCAAGAGCAAGGTCAGGAAAAGACCCAGGGGGAACATTAACTCTCTAGATCTCAGAAGCACCATTAGAAGAGGCAGACATGCTCCTCAGACACCTTCGTCCCAACAGGCATCTGTACCCTGGTGTCCTCTGAGACTAAACACACCTCCCCGTATGCCTGACTGACTTGTACTGAGCATCCACATAAGGTTGCATGCCGAGGGCTACCTGCATAGCATCAATTTTAGAATTCCCTTAAAAATACAAATATTCTTCAGGTGCCCCCAAATCTGTAATTCAGCATGTTTCAGAAAGAACACTTGCATCTTCTTTTAATAGTATGTACATCTGCCTGTATTTGTTTTTCAGCATTTCCCATTCTCTGTTTCCCATTTATTAGAAATTCAGCTTCCGTATTATTTTTCCTGTTTGTGCTCCTCTATGTTTATGAGAAGACATGCACTGAGAGTGCTGGAGAACCATACATGTCCTCCCCTGGCTTTGGTGACAAGGGATTTAGTTTCATTTCAAAGAGAAGCAAGCAGAGCTCATTGAGGGGTTCTCTTGGGTGTGCGTGTGTGTTCCCAGCAGCCTCAGCTGTTTTCATTTCCTTTCAGTTGCATGCTCACTGGCCATTACGTGTGCTGTGTCTTTAAAAGTCCCCTCCGAGAATATTATCATGAGTAAAGGAGAACCTCCTAAGGTCAGGTGGTTAACTGTGATGTGTGTGTTTGGTCTACAGATGTCCCAAATCCTCCCTTTGACTTAGAATTGACGGATCAACTAGACAGGAGTGTTCAGCTGTCATGGACCCCAGGCGATGACAACAATAGCCCTATTACAAGTATGTGGTGTCATTTGCTTTTTCACTGATAAACTTGATGATTATTTTCAAAGCACTGTATCCCATGTAATTGAAATTCCTTGCAAAAGATATTTGCTGGCATTCTCTGCTTTATTGCTAATAGAATCAAAACAGTTATTTATGTTCTGTTATTCAGAGCTGGAGTTATTCCTGGTTACGACTTCTGGTTTGGGACACTAATTAATTGCTGAAGATGTTAATTAAGCAAATACACTATCATTTTGTGTTTAAGATCCATAAGAATCACCTTCAATTTCTACCACAGTAGGAAGATGTATTGCAAGTTATTCATTTTGCCCATTAATACAGGAGAAAACAATAGAAGGACCAGTCTAGCTATTAGGAAATTGAGACTTGGTGAGTAAAGTGACTTTTCAAACCCACAGTTGTTAACAGAACTGGGGGTAGACATCAGGTCTCTTTCTTTCCATTAGCCCTGGCTATAAAGTGGTACAGTCACCAGTGTCACCTCCTCACCTTGATGACATCAGCTTAGAGAATAAAATCAGGTGAGGGACCATGCTATAAAGGTACTGGAAGAACTTAGTCAAATTAGACTATAGATAAGATTATAAGTTTTAAAACCAAAAAGGTACTTAAGAGAGTAGACACAAGTCTGTAATATATTACTACCTTCAGGTGTATACTGCAGGAAGACTAAATTCCTTTCCAGTGATGACCTAAGATACTGCTGAAGTGATGTGCGTATTGATTTGTTGCACCTGCTGGTAAAGCAGACTAGATCCAATGAAATTAAACAAAAGCGTCCTCTCTATCTTGTGTTCTTTGGTGGTGTTCCTTTCTCAGTGGAGTTTTTGGTCCTTGATCAGAACATGAATTCATTCATGCTGAATCTTCCAGTTAATTCAGTACATTAGCCAGATTTAGCTGGTGAGGATGCTTGAAGACTCTAATTTTTACCCATGTTAAAATGATACCATTAGATTTCAAGGCATTTCTACTCTTTCGTTCGTTCATGCATTCAACAGACATTTATTGAGTACCTATTATGTACCAGGCATTCTTCTAAAACAAAACAGTCAAAAATCTCTGCCCATATGAAGTTTATATTTTAATTGATGACACAAATAAGATAAAATTAATACGTGTTATGTTGTTGTGTATAATGTCATTATATATATGTATATATGTGTGTGTGTGTATATATATATACACACACACACACGCACACATACACGCGCACGCACACACACTACTCAGATCTCCTTTTATGAGAGAACCCACTACAAGGAATGTCAAAAACAGGCTCCATCTGCTGCCCCCTCCCTAGGGATCAGCTGCAGCATTCCCATGAGGCCCCTCTCTTCCTGAGCTAGTCCAGGGACTGAACACAGCGAGGGTCCTAGATTCAGCCATGCCTCCTGCAGAACTTCACTCTGGGGCTCCTTACTGACCTGGCTGAATCTATCTGTATTGGAGTCTGAGGCTTTTTCCACGCACACCTCCTTCCCCTCTCCTTTCTCAGACGTCAGACCTGCATTACGGTCTGAACTTCCCTGCCGTCTCCTGCTTTCTCTCTCTTTTATCTTCCATGGACTCTTCCCCAAATAAATCTCCTACACATTTAGTTCTATCTCTGCATCTGCTTCCAAGAGGAGTCAAACACACATATATCTATACACATGGTTATGTGTGTGTCCACGTTTAGGCCATGCAAAGAACAAAGCAGGAGAAGGAGAGTAAAAAATATGAGGGTCAGGGGTATAATTACAAACAGGGTGGTCAGGAAAGGCTACCTTAAGAAGGTAACATTCATATGCAAAACAGTATGGAGGTTCCTTAAAAAACTGAAAATAGAGTTACCAGATGATCCAGCAATCCCACCCCTGGGCTATATCCAGGAAAAATGAAAGCTCTAATTCAAAAAGATACATGCATCCCAAAGTTCACAGTGGCACTGTTTACAATAGCTGAGACACAGACGCAACCTAAGTGCCCATCAACACATGAATGGATAAAGAAGATGTGGTACATATATACAGTGGAATACTACACAGCCATAAAAAAGAATGAAATCATGCCATTTGCAGCAACGTGGATGGACCTAGAAAGTATCATACTAAGTGAAGTAAGATGGAGAAAGACAAATATTATATGATATCCCTTATATGTGGAATCTAATAAATAGTGCAGATGAACTAATTTATAAAATAAAAATAGACTCATAGACATAGAAAACAAACTTATGGTTACCACAGGGGAAGGGGAGGAGGAATAAATTAGGAATTTGGGATTAACAGATGTGCACTACCAAACAAGGATTTACTGTATAGCACAGGGAGCTATATTCAATATATTGTAATAAACTATAAAGGAAAAGAATGGGGGAAAAGAATATAGTTATATACATTTATTTATGTATAACCAAATCACTTTGCTATACGCCTGAAACTAACACAATACTGTGAATCAACTTTACTCCAGTTAAAAAAATAATAAATTTTTAAAAAGAAGGTAACATTTGAGTATGTCAATAAAGACATGAGGAGAGAGGTAGTGAACGCACTATGCAGTTAACTGAAGGAAGACCTTTCCAGGGAGAGCAAGAAAAACAGCAAAGCCCCTGAGACAGGAGCATGCCTCTCGGAAGCCACTGTGGCTGGCTGGAGTGAAATGAACAAGAAGAAGTGAAGTAGGAGAGAAGGTCAGAGAGGCAAAGAGTTGGTGGGTGGAGTGGGATGTGCACTGTGCAGGGCCTTGTAGGCCCTTGTAGGGGTTGGGAAGGAATTGGAGGGATTTAAGTAGAGCAGCAGTCCCCAGTCTTTTTGGCACCAGGGACTAGCTTCGTGGAAGCGTTTTTCCACGGAGGGGGAGAGGGGGGATGGTTCAGGCGGTAATGTGAGCCATGGTTCGGGCAGTAACGCAAGCGACGGTTCAGGTGGTAATGCAAGCAATGGGGAGCGGCAGAGGAAGCTTCACTTGCTCGCCTAACAAGCCTAACAAGCCACGGACCAGTATCGGTCCACAGCCCGGGGGTTGGGGACCCCTGAAGTAGAGGAATGGATCACACTGGCTATGCTATTGAAAATGGTCTAGAGAGGAGCAAGAGGGAGAGTGGGGAGACCCGGCAGGACTACACTTCTCAAACCATGCGTTGAAATACCATACAGAACGTCAGCAAACCTCAGAGGTGCCTCCGGATATTAAGTTTTTGATTTTTAAATTTTGGGTTTTATTTTTTGGCTGAGTTGGGTCTTCGTTGCTGCGCACAGGCTTTCTCTAGTTGTGGTGAGCAGGGGCTACTCTTCCTTGTGGTGCGCAGGCTTCTCATTGCGGTGGCTTCTCTTGTTGTGGAGCACGGGCTCTAGGCATGCAGGCTTCAGTAGTTGTGGAACATGGGCTCAGTAGTTGTGGCTCATGGGCTCTATAGCACAGGCTCAGTAGTTGTGGCACACGGGCTTAGTTGCTCCACGGCATGCGGGATCTTCCTGGCCCAGGGCTCGAACCCGTGTCCCCTGCATTGGCAGGTGGATTCTTAACCGCTGAGCCACCAGGGAAGCCCCAAAATTTTGGTTTTTAAAAAACACAGTGACATCTCTCAGACACCCCATGAAATACTAGCTGGAGGCAGTTCACAGTTTCAGTATTGATAGTGCTACATCACACTGTGACAGTGTCATATCTCCGCAAAGCCTTTGTGGTGATAAAAAGCAAGTACCATGTGAAAATAAGTGTGAAACAGGAAATGAGGAAGGTGGTGTCAAATCTGTTTACAAGGTTGGACAAGTTATGCGGTGCCCAGTAGATTTTAAGACATAAACACTTATTAGATTATATAGACCTAACTCCTTAATACACAGAGATGTTAGGTATTTCTTTTGACCTAAGGGAGCCATGAAAAAAATTACTGAGACACTAAGCACACCATGAACTAAGAAAGTTTGGGAACTTGTGAGCTAGGAGGTTATGCGATAGTTCTCACGAGAGATCTTGGTGACCTGGAATAGGCTTATAGGGATGGAGGAGCTGAGAAATGGTAAGCTGAGATTTTGAATATATTTTAAAGGTACAGCCAACAGGTCTATTGAGTAAGAGTAAGAGAAGGAGAAAGCCAAGAAGGACTTCAAGGTTTTGACCTGAGTTGTCACTACCAGTTGGGGTGAAGAGCAAAATGAGTCTTGGTCACATCCAATTTGAGATGCTGTACTAGACAAACAAGTGGAATTCTTGAGTAGGCAATTAAGTATCCAAGTCTGTAGTTCCGGGGAGAGATAGGGGCTGAAGATATAAATGTGAAGGTCATCAGTTTATGAAACTGGAGATCACCAGCAAATTTACATAGATTAGAAGGAGAACTCTAAGTGCTGAGCTTCCGAGCATTGCAACACATATTTCTAGTTCATCTCTGTACCTTTAATGCATATCATGGTACATGGCATGTAGTAGGCAATTAATGAATATCTAAATACCTGTTTTTTGCATTTCTTTTTTTTATTGAAGTATAGTTGATTTACAATGTTGTATTAGTTTCAGGTTTACAGCAAAGTGATTCAGTTATACATATATTTTTTTGACATTCTTCTTCTTTATAGGTTATTACAAAATATTGAGCATAGTTCCCTCTGCTATACAGTAGGTCCTTGTTGGTTATCTCTTTTATATATAGTAGTGTGTATATGTTAATCCCAAGCTCCTCATTTATCCCTCCCCCTACCTTTCCCCTCTGGTAACCGCAAGTTTGTTTTCTATGTCTGTGGGTCTATTTCGGTGTTTTTGTTGTTGTTTTTGCGGTACGCGGGCCTCTCACTGTTGTGGCCTCTCCCGTTGCGGAGCACAGGCTCCGGACGCGCAGGCTCAGCGGCCATGGCTCACGGGCCCAGCCGCTCCACAGCGTGTGGGATCCTCCCGGACCGGGGCACGAACCCGTGTCCCCTGCATCGGCAGGTGGACTCTCAACCACTGCGCCACCAGGGAAGCCCTCTATTTCTGTTTTGTATATAAGTTCATTTGTATCATTTTCTTTTAGATTCCAGATATATGCAATATCGTATGATATTTGTCTTTCTCTGCCTGGCTTAATTCACTTAATATGATCATCTCTAGTCCATCCATGTTGCTGCAGGTGGCATTATTTCATTCTTTTTATGGCTGAGTAACATTCCATTGTATGTATGTGCAACATCTTTATCCATTCATCTGTCGATGGACATTTAGGTTGCTTCCATATCTTGGCTTATTGTACATAGTGCTGCAATGAACATTGGGGTGCATACATCGTTTCAAATAAATACTTATTTTTTACAAGGGTAAAACATGTACATACCACAAAATTTTAAGAGAGACAAGAGGGTAGGTATGCACTGGAAAGTAAGTCTTCCTCCCACCCCTGATTCTCAACTCCTCTGGTGACACCAGTGTTACAGTGTGTATCCTCCAAGAGGTAACACATGTACTTTCAAGCGTATGTGTATGTGTATATGTTATAGTAAATCTTTTTATTTTTATACAGCTGTAGTATCCAGATTATGTTCTAAACCCTACTTGGTTTCACTTAACAATATATTTTAGAAATCATTCTGTTTCAGTACATGTGGAGCAGCCCTGTTCATTTTTTACAGCTGCAGAACATTCCATTGTGTGGTTGCATCGTAATTTATTTAATCAGTGTCCTATTGATGAACATTTAGGTTCATTAGTGTCCTATTGATGAACAATTGTTTGCAATTAGGTTGTTTCAGTTGCAAACAATGCTGCCATGTGGATTCTTTTTCATGTGCCTTTGAACATATTCATGAGCACATTTATTCAAAATAAATTGCTGGAAGCACAATTTCTGAGTCAAAGGGTCTCTGAGTTATCTAAATATCTAAATATTGTTAGATGTTCTAAATTGTCCTCTATAGAAGTTGTACCAATTTACACTTCCCACAAAGTATTGAGAATGATTGTTTCCCTTTGTCATAGTTCGCAAAGTGTGTTAAACATTTGATTTTGCCAGTCTTTTTGGTGGGAGAAGGTATCTCTCTGTATTTCACGTAACATCTCCTGTTATGAAAAAGTCAATCATCTTTTCGTATGTTTAAACTTTCCTAGGAATATGTGGATCACTTCTAAACAATTTTAAGGAGCTAAACTCAGCATGCTAGAGAAAGCATACTCTTATTGGATTTGCTTAAGTGTTGAGGACTCTAGGCTTCTGAAATCAACATATTCTAGTGAATTTTTCTTGAAAGTGAGATAGTTCATGTTCAGCTGCTCTTGTTAGATTGTCCTGTTCGTTATCCTCGCGATAACAAGGTGATAACATTGGGTGACTGAATTCATGTCTTGGATTTGTTGTGTGTGTGTGTGCTGTGGCCAGAATTCATCATTGAATATGAAGATGCAATGCATGAGCCGGGGCTGTGGCATCACCAAACTGAAGTCCCTGGAGCTCAGACCACAGCCCAGCTGAAGTTGTCGCCCTATGTCAACTATTCCTTCCGAGTGATGGCAGTAAACAGCCTGGGAAGGAGCTTGCCCAGCGAGGCATCTGAGCAGTATTTGACTAAAGCTGCAGGTAAAGCACGACTTCTGTGACATGAAATAAAATAGAAGGGTTTTCCACTGTTTGCAAGAGACCAAAGTTTACGAGTATGTGGCTGTTTAACTTCTAGAACCAGATAAAAATCCCACGGCTGTGGAAGGGCTGGGATCAGAGCCGGATAATTTGGTGATTACGTGGAAGGTGAGCTATGTCTGAAATATTCAACTATATTTTAGAGTGGAAAGAAAAGTTGTTTTTAAATAATACCTGTATTAAAATCCCCTTTCACACAGTTTTTGGAATATATACATATATCATATATTTATTAATCGTGTAGTAGGTAAAAGCTTGATCCTTGGAGCCAAAATGAACGGTACAAATCCCAGCTTTGCCACTTAGTAACTGTGTGACTTTAAGGCATTTCTTTAACATCTCTACTGTGTATCTGTGTGATGGGAATAACAGTGAACCAACCTCATAAGATTAAAGAAGTTAATGCACTTACAATGCACCTAGAACGGTGCCTATCACATAGAATGTGCTCAATAAATTCTAGCTTGTGTTGTCACCATCGTAGAGAACTATCTAGAAGACAAGTACCAGTAGTCAACTTCTTCTACCTTTTTCTTTTTGGCCTGTCTCTATTTTCTGGACTTGGAAAATTAATATATATTTACTTGTGTGATTTTAAAACTTATTTTAGATAGATCCATGCATCCATACTTAGATACATACATGTTTGTATATACTTAGATATGTACATGCGCGTAGAAACAGGATAGAATGACAAGCCAATCTCTTTTTCTTTTTAAAGAAAGAAGCAGTTCACAATTTCAGTCTCCAAGTAAAATAGACAGTGAGGTGCTGTCACACAACCAGGAACACATAAAGGAAACTATATACCTGGAAAGTTTTATGTCACCTACCCATGACTGTGGAGCCAGAATCTGAGAGGCCTAGGTGGTTTTTACTACTTCAAGATAGAAATTAACCACCTTTGAAATTTTGATCCCAAACAAGCTATGGATCTCATCACAGGTGAAAAAAACGGACAAAAGGTCCCTGGAGAAAATTGTTCATAGCTTGTACTTTAGTGGCGCAGTGCTCACCGTCTTTAAGTCTGGGAATTGAATTTGCCGTTCCAGTAAGAGATGGCACCGCTGATCTGTTTTATAAGCTCTGATGGTCTGGCTTTTCTTGTAGCCCTTGAATGGTTTCGAATCTAATGGGCCAGGCCTTCAGTACAAAGTTAGCTGGCGCCAGAAGGATGGTGATGATGAATGGACGTCTATGGTTGTGGCAGATGTATCCAAATACATTGTCTCGGGCACCCCGACCTTTGTCCCATACCTGATCAAAGTTCAGGCCCTGAACGACGCGGGCTTTGCTCCAGAGCCAGCTGTGGTCCTGGGACATTCTGGAGAAGACCGTAAGTGCCTGATGCTACTTCATGTCTATTTTTCCCCAGCAAAACAGACTTAACAAAGTGCAAGTCAAGGCCATGTCCAGAGGTGCTGAGATTGGGACGGAGAATGGGAGGCAGCCGTGATTTCACTCAACATTTCTGCATCTAAACAGCCTGCTACATAGAAAATAGGTTCAGCATGTTAAAAGTTATTACTTTTTAAAAAGATATGTTGTTCTCACAAAGTCAAATGAACAGTGCTCAAAAAAAAAAAAAAACCCATCTATTCTCCATCCTTGATAATACATAGAATCAGGCTGGGGCATGTTTCAAGCCAAAATTAGGAGATGGTGACATTTTTTGCATGAAATTCAAAATGACATTGATACTTCTACCCCCCTTTCTCATCTTTCCCTAGTCCCAATGGTGGCTCCCGGGAATGTGCACGTAAACGTGGTAAACAGCACCTTAGCCGAGGTGCACTGGGACCCGGTACCTCTGAAAAGTATCCGAGGACACCTGCAGGGCTATCGGGCAAGTGAAAGAGACCTTTCGTGTTCTTTTCTCAGAAACAGTCCATCGGCCAATGCCAGACGCCCTTTGCTTGGCCGGAGGAGGCCTTGAGAGTTCATCAGGTGTACTGCCTCAGGAAGCCTACCTCTGAAGCATCCCCGCTAGAGCTGGATCGAAATCTCACTGCACACAAAGGGAGAAAAAAATTCTTTCTCCATTTTTCCCACAGATAGTCTGCATTCTGCCAACTCAACAGTTACCGCATGCACGAAATGGGGAAAACTAATGTTCAAAAAACTAGGATGTAATGAAATGCACCTAGCTTTAAAACCACACTGACTGTGGTTTTAAACAAACAAAACTATCCAGAAAACAATGTAGACTTTTGTTTTAGTTTAGATTATAGTTCAAGATCATAGAGTTCCAACTCAGTCATTCTTATAAACATCAGTTATCTGTGTTCTTGGGAAGCACAGAAAGACCGATTCATAGTTTTGATTGAGAGGTGGTCAAAGAGCTTTCACACCTACCAAGGCAGTCAAGGCTTTGCTTGGTCAAACCCTGACCTCTAGAGGTCGGATTTTGCACTGCATCATGTTCAACTTTGGGTTTTTGGTTTTTCTTCCTCTAAGATTGCCAGATTCTGTATTTATGTTGATTTCTCTTGAAGGTGCCTTTAAACTCCTAAGATGACTTTAAGGGGACTTAGTAAACAATAGTTCTGGATTTCTATCCAAAGTTAATCAACGCTTTATCTCTTCAAAATCTGTGTCTCCAATTTCATACCAAAAAATAAGTATTTTTAATTAAGTGATGCAGTTTGGCATAGTGAGAAAGCCCTAGACTTGAAGTGGAGGGTCTTCTAACCTCTTGATAGCCCAGGGGCTCTTCTGTACTGTAGGAATAGTAATAATTAAAGCTTCGTTGTGGTTTTTAGTATTAAGCTAAATGATATATTGTACATGAAGTTGTATTAACTCTGGAAAAGTACGTAAATATTGGGCAGTAATTTTTACCATTAGACTATTTTACACAAGTAAAGGACACTTAAATCCTTCTGTATGGGTCTCATGCTGTTTCATTTCTTTGGTTTATTTCACTTAGACTTCTCCAACAACATAGCATAACCGAGCTTCATCACAATTTCTTAATTTCCCTCATTACCTATGCCTTCTACTCACTTGCCTCAGAATCGATATCTGTCAGTTGTTCCACTGGTCTAAAATGTACCAAGGGAACTTTCTGGGGAAAAAAATAATAATAAAACTTTAATTTTGTGAGCATGAGGATTCTGTTGGCTCCCTTGTCCATCCCTGACTTTTATTCTTGCCGTTTCAGATTTACTACTGGAAGGCACAGAGTTCATCAACCAGAAACAGACGCCATATTGAGAAAAAGATCCTCACCTTCCAGGGCAGCAAGACTCATGGCATGTTGCCTGGGCTGGAGCCCTTTAGCCACTACACACTGAATGTCCGCGTGGTCAATGGGAAAGGGGAGGGCCCAGCCAGCCCCGACAGGGTCTTCAATACCCCGGAAGGAGGTAGGGTGGGCGTGTCACTGAGATCCTAGCAGCGTGTGGTGCATCCTGAGAGACTTTGCGTGACCGATGGGCCCCCAAAGAAAGTATATTCTGGAAGCCAAATGTGATCTTCCCACAGATGAGCACAGCACACACAGAGCTGACAGAGTGTCAGCTCATCTAGGGCCTGAGGGTGTGGGGAAGGCTTCAGAGGATTCCCTAAAACCCCCTTTCACTTCACTTAAAATTTTTCTCCACAGTTAATCACACGGTCAAAAACCTTGCTAATTTTTTAAAAATTTTTAAAGATTTTTATACAACTTTTTTTTTTTTGGCTGAGCTGCATGGCTTGCAGAATCTTAGTTCCCTGACCAGGGATTGAACCTGGGCCCTGACAGTGAAAACACCAAGTCCTAACCATTGGACCACCAGGGAATTCCCTATTTTTATACAATTTTTAAATGTTACTTTCCATTTACAGTTATTACAAAATATTGGTTATATTCCCCATGTAGTAAAATACATCCTTGATCCTGTCTTTTTTTTTTTTTACATCTTTATTGGAGTATAATTACTTTACAATGGTATGCCAGTTTCTGCTTTATAACAAAGTGAATCAGTTATACATATACATATGTTCCCATATCTCTTCCCTCTTGGCGTTTCCCTCTTCCCCGCCCTCCCTATCCCACCCCTCTAGTTTCATTAGGTCCCATTTGTTTATTTTTGTTTTTATTTCCATTTCTCTGGGAGGTGGGTCAAAAAGGATCTTGCTGTGATTTATGTCATAGAGTGTTCTATCTATGTTTTCCTCTAAGAGTTTGATAGTTTCTGACCTTACATTTAGGTCTTTAATCCATTTTGAGTTTATTTTTGTGTATGGTGTTAGGGAGTGATCTAATTTCATACTTTTACATGTGTCCAGTTTTCCCAGCACCACTTATTGAAGAGGCTGTCCTTTCTCCACTCTACATTCCTGCCTCCTTTATCAAAGATAAGGTGACCATATGTGTGTGGGTTTATCTCTGGACTTTCTATCCTGTTCCATTGATCTATCTTTCTGTTTTTGTGCCAGTACCATACTGTCTTGATTACTGTAGCTTTGTAGTATAGTCTGAAGTCAGGGAGCCTGATTCCTCCAGCTCCGTTTTTCATTCTCAAGATTGCTTTGGCTATTCAGGGTCTTTTGTGTTTCCATACAAATTGTGAAATTTTTTGTTCTAGTTCTGTGAAAAATGCCATTGGTAGTTTGATAGGGATTGCACTGAATCTGTAGATTGCTTTGGGTAGTAGAGTCATTTTCACAATGTTGATTCTTCCAATCCAAGAACATGGTATATCTCTCCATCTATTTGTATCATCTTTAATTTCTTTCATCAGTGTCTTATAATTTTCTGCATACAGGTCTTTTGTCTCCTTAGGTAGGTTTATTCCTAGATATTTTATTCTTTTTGTTGCAGTGGTGAATGGGAGTGTTTTCCTGATTTCACTTTCAGATTTTTCATCATTAGTGTATAGGAATGCCAGAGATTTCTGTGCATTAATTTTGTGTCCTGCTACTTTACCAAATTCATTGATTAGCTCCAATAGTTTTCTGGTAGCATCTTTAGGATTCTCTATGTATAGTATCATGTCATCTGCAAACAGTGACAGCTTCACTTCTTCTTTTCCGATTTGGATTCCTTTTATTTCCTTTTCTTCTCTGATTGCTGTGGCTAAAACTTCCAAAACTATGTTGAATAAGAGTGGTGAGAGTGGGCAACCTTGTCTTGTTCCTGATCTTAGTGGAAATGCTTTCAGTTTTTCACCATTGAGGATGATGTTGGCTGTGGGTTTGTCATATATGGCCTTTATTATGTTGAGGAAAGTTCCCTCTATGCCTACTTTCTGCAGGGTTTTTATCATAAATGGGTGTTGAATTTTGTCAAAAGCTTTCTCTGCATCTATTGAGATGATCATATGGTTTTTCTCCTTCAGTTTGTTAATATGGTGTATCACATTGATTGCTTTGCATATATTGAAGAATCCTTGCATTCCTGGAATAAACCCCATGATCATGGTGTATGATCCTTTTAATGTGCTGTTGGATTCTGTTTGCTAGTATTTTGTTGAGGATTTTTGCATCTATGTTCATCAGTGATATTGCCCTGTAGTTTTCTTTCTTTGTGACATCCTTGTCTGATTTTGGTATCAGGGTGAGGGTGGCCTCGTAGAATGAGTTTGGGAGTGTTCCTCCCTCTGCTATATTTTGGAGGAGTTTGAGAAGGATAGAAGTTAGCTGTTCTCTAAATGTTTGATAGAATTCGCCTGTGAAGCCATCTGGTCCCGGGCTTTTGTCTGTTGGAAGATTTTTAATCACAGTTTCAATTTCAGTTCTTGTGATTGGTCTGTTCATATTTTCTATTTCTTCCTGATTCAGTCTTGGCAGGTTGTGCTTTTCTAAAAATTTGTCCATTTCTTCCAGGTTGTCCATTTTTTTGGCATAGAGTTGCTTGTAGTAGTCTCTCATGATCTTTTGTATTTCTGCAGTGTCAGTTGTTACTTCTTCTTTTTCATTTCTAATTCTATTGATTTGAGTCTTCTCCCTTTTTTTCTTGATGAGTCTGGCTAATGGTTTATCAATTTTGTTTATCTTCTCAAAGAACCAGCTTTTAGTTTTACTGATCTTTGCTATCGTTTCCTTCATTTCTTTTTCATTTATTTCTGATCTGATCTTTATGATTCCTTTCCTTCTGCTAACTTTGGGGTTTTTTCTGTTCTTTGTTCTCTGATTGCTTTAGGTGCAAGGTTAGGTTGTTTATTCGAGATGTTTCCTGTTTTGTAAGGTAGGATTGTATTGCTATAAACTTCCCTCTTAGAACTGCTTTTGCTGCATCCCATAGGTTTTGGGTCATCATGTCTCCATTGTAATTTGTTTCTAGGTATTTTTTTGATTTCCTCTTTGATTTCTTCAGTGATCTCTTGGTTATTAAGTAGTGTATTGTTTAGCCTCCATGTGTTTGTATTTTTTACAGATCTTTTCCTGTAATTGATATCTAGTCTCATAGTGCTGTGGTCGGAAAAGATACTTGATACAATTTCAGTTTTCTTAAATTTACCAAGGCTTGATTTGTGACCCAAGAAAGATATGATCTATCCTGGAGAATGTTCCATGAGCACCTGAGAAAAATGTATATTCTGTTGTTTTTGGATGGAATGTCCTAGAAATATCCATTAAGTCCATCTTGTTTAATGTATCATTTAAAGCTTGTGTTTCCTTCTTTATTTTCAGTTTGGATGATCTGTCCATTGGTGGAAGTGGGGTGTTAAAGTCCCCTACTATGAATGTGTTAGTGTCGATTTCCCCTTTTATGGCTGTTAGTAGTTGTCTTATGTACTGAGGTGCTCCTGTGTTGGGTGCGTAAATATTTACAATTGTTTTATCTTCTTCTTGGATCGATCCCTTGATCATTATGTAGTTTCCTTCTTTGTCTCTTGTAATAGTCTTTATTTTAAAGTCTATTTTGTCTGATATGACAATTGCTACTCCAGCTTTCTTTTGGTTTCCATTTGCATGGAATATCTTTTTCCACCCCCTCACTTTCAGTCTGTATGTGTCTCTAGGTCTGAAGTGGGTCTCTTGTAGGCAGCATATAGATGGGTCTTGTTTTTGTATCCATTCAGCGAGTCTGTGTCTTTTGGTGGGGGCATTTAATCCATTTACATTTAAGGTAATTATCGATATGTATGTTCCTATTCCCATTTTCTTAATTGTTTTGGGTTTGTTATTGTAGGTCTTTTCCTTCTCTTGTGTTTCTTGCCTAGAGAAGGTCCTTTAGCATTTGTTGTAAAGCTGGTTTGGTGGTGCTGAACTCTCTCAGCTTTTGCTTGTCTGTAAAGGTTTTAATTTCTCCATCAAATCTGATTGATAACCGTGCTGGGTAGAGTAATCTTGGTTGTAGGTATTTATCCTTCATCACTTTAAATATGTCCTGCCAGTCCCTTCTGGCTTGCAGAGTTTCTGCTGAAAGATCAGCTGTTAACCTTATGGGGATTCCCTTGTGTGTTATTTGTTGTTTTTCCCTTGCTGCTTTTAATATGTCTTCTTTGTATTTAATTTTTGACAGTTTGATTAATATGTGTCTTGGCATGTTTCTCCTTGGATTTATCCTGTATGGGACTCTCTGTGCTTCCTGGACTTGAATGGCTATTTCCTTTCCCATATTAGGGAAGTTTTCAACTATAGTCTCTTCAAATATTTTCTCAGTCCCTTTCTTTTCCTCTTCTTCTTCTGGAACCCCTCTAATTCGAATGTTGGTGCGTTTAATGTTGTCCCAGGGGTCTCTAAGACTGTCCTCAGTTCTTTTCATTCTTTTTTCTTTATTCTTCTCTGCAGAAGTTATTTCCACTATTTTATCTTCCAGGTCATTTATCTGTTCTTCTGCCTCAGTTATTCTGCTATTGATCCCATCTAGAGTATTTTTAATTTCATTTATTGTGTTGTTCATCGTTGCTTGTTTCATCTTTAGTTCTTCTAGTTCCTTGTTAAATGTTTCTTGCATTTTCTCTATTCTGTTTCCAAGATTTTGGATCATCTTTACTATCATTATTCTGAATTCTTTTTCAGGTAGACTGCCTATTTCCTCTTCAGTTGTTAGGTCTGGGGTTTTTTATCTTGCTCCTTCATCTGCTGTGTGTTTCTCTGTCTTCTCATTTTGCTTATCTTACTGTGTTTGGGGTCTCCTTTTTGCAGGCTGCAGGTTCATAGTTCCCGTTGTTTTTGGTGTCTGTCCCCAGGGCTAAAGTTGGTTCAGTGGGTTGTGTAGGCTTCCTGGTGGAGGGGACTAGTGCCTGTGTTCTGGTGGATGAGACTGGATCTTGTCTTTCTGGTGGGCAGGTCCATGTCTGGCGGTGTGTTTTGGGGTGTCTGTGGACTTATTATGATTTTAGGCAGCCTTTCTGCTAATGGGTGGGGTTGTGTTCCTGTCTTGCTAGTTGTTTGGCATAGGGTGTCCAGCACTGTAGCTTGCTGGTTGTTGAGTGAAGCTGGGTGTTGGTGTTGAGATGGAGATCTCTGGGAGATTTTCGCTGTTTGATATTATGTGGAGCTGGGAGGTCTCTTGTGGACCAGTGTCCTGAAGTTGGCTCTCCCACCTCAGAGGCACAGCACTGACTCCTGGCTGCAGCACCAAGAGCCTTTCATCCACACGGCTCAGAATAAAAGGGAGAAAATGTAGAAAGAAAGAAAGAGAGAGAGAGAGAGAAAGGGAGGAAGGAAGGAAGGAAGGAAGGAAGGAAGGAAGGAAGGAGGGAAGGAAGGAAGGAAGAAAGAAAAGAAAGAGGAGAGGGGATAAAATAAAGTTATTAAAATAAAAAATAGGGCTTCCCTGTTGGCGCAGTGGTTGAGAGTCTGCCTGCCGATGCAGGGGACACAGGTTCGCGCTCCAGTCCAGGAAGATCCCACATGCCGCGGAGTGACTGGGCCCGTGAGTCATGGCCGCTGAGCCTGCGCGTCCAGAGCCTGTGCTCCGCAACGGGAGAGACCACAACAGTGAGAAGCGCGCGTACCGCAAAAAATAATAATTTTTATTATTATTAAGAAAAAACATTTTTTAAGGAAAAAAGAAACGGATGGATAGAACCCTAGGACAAATGGTGAAAGCAAAGCTATACAGACAAAATCTCACAAAGAAGCATACACATACACACAAAAAGAGGAAAAGGGGAAAAAATCATAAATCTTGCTCTCAAAGTCCACCTCCTCAATTTGGGATGATTTGTTGTCTATTCATGTATTCCACAGATGCAAGTACATCAAGTTGATTGTGGAGCTTTAATCCCCTGCTTCTGAGGCTGCTGGGAGAGATTTCCATTTCTCTTTTTGTTCACACAGCTCCCGGGGTTCAGCTTTGCATTTGGCCCCGCCTCTGCGTGTAGGTCGCCGGAGGGCATCTGTTCTTCACTCAGGACGGGGTTAAAGGAGCTGCCGATTCGGGGGCTCTGGCTCACTCAGGTGGGGGGCGGGAAGGGCACGGAGTGCAGGGCGAGCCTGCGGCGGCAGAGGCCGGCGTGATGTTGCACCAGCCTGAGGCGCGCCGTGTGTTCTCCCGGGGAAGTTGTCCCTGGATCCCGGGACCCTGGCAGTGGCGGGCTGCACAGGCTCCCGGGAGGGCAGGTGTGGAGAGTGACCTGTGCTCGCACACAGGCTTCTCGGTGGTGGCAGCAGCAGCCTTAGTGTCTCATGCTCGTCTCTGGGATCCGCGCTTTTAGCCGCGGCTCGCGCCCGTCTCTGGAGCTCCTTTAAGCAGCGCTCTTAATCCCCACTGCTCGTGCACCAGGAAACAAAGAGGGAAGAAAAAGTCTCTTGCCTCTTCGGCAGGGCCAGACTTTTCCCCGGACTCCCTCCCGGCTAGCCGCGGCGCACTAATCCCCGGCAGGCTGTGTTCCCGCCGCCAACCCCAGTCCTCTCCCTGCGCTCCGACCGAAGCCCGAGCCTCAGCTCCCAGCCCCACCCGCCCAAGCAGACAAGCCTCTCGGGCTGGTGAGTGCCGGTCGGCACCCATCCTCTGTGCGGGAATCTCTCCGCTTTGACCTCCACACCCATGTTGCTGCGCTCTCCTCCGCGGCGCCGAAGCTCCCCCCTCCGCCACCCGCAGTCTCCGCCCGCGAAGGGGCTTCCTGCTGTGTGGAAACCTTTCCTCCTTCACGGCTCCTTCCCACTGGTGCAGGTCCCGTCCCTATTCTTTTGTCTCTGTTTATTCTTTTTTCTTTTGCCCTACCCAGGTACGTGGGGGGTTTCTTGCCTTTTGGGAGGTCTGAGGTCTTCTGACAGCATTCAGTAGGTGTTCAGAAGGAGTTGTTCCATGTGTAGGTGTATTTCTGGTGTATCTGTGGGGGGAAGGTGATCTCCGTGTCTTCCTCTTCCGCCATCTTCCCGGTTCCCCCTTGCGCCTGTCTTACCCCCAATAGTCTGTACCTCCCACTCCCTCCCACTGGTAACCACTAGTTCATTCTCTGCATTTGTGAATCTGCTTCTTTTATGTTGTATTCACTACTTTATTGTATTTTTTAGATTCCACATATAAGCGCTATCATACAGTATTTATCTTTTGCTGTCTGGCTTATTTTACTTAGCATAATACTCTCCAAGTCTATCCATGTTGCTACAAATGGCAAAATTCCATTCTTTTTTATGGCTGAGTAGTATTCCATTGTGTGTGTGTGTGTGTGTGTGTGTGTGTGTATATATACCACAGCTTTTTTATCCATTCATCTGTCGATGGACACTTAGGTTGTAGAACTTTGCTAATTTGATGCTGACTTGGGTCATAAACTTTCTGACCTGAAGCAAGTTATACAATTTCTCTAAACCTCAGTTACCTCAGCCAGAAAGCGTGAGAACTAGATGCGATCACCTAAGAAAAATATCTAGAAAGGAAAAGAATCCTCTAGGTTGTAGTTTACTTCTTTCTCCGTGCACCTTTACAGTTCATGCTAGCATGGAACTGAGTTAGAAGGTTGGCCGTCTTGACAGAATGTGTTGGGAAGGGAAGGGAAGAGTCATTGCAAGTGTGGGCCATGCAAGGGGAGGAGGAAGGGAGAACCAAACACAGCTGATGCAGGAGCGGGGGCTGGAGGGGTCAGGACACGGCCACCTGGGAGCCTAGTGGATGAGGAGAGGGCCATGTAGTAAGAAAGGCACCAGCATGGCCTTTGCTTATCTTGAATTTTGCCTCAAGCCAGTATTGAAAATGATCCAGATAGCTTCTGTGGATTGCTTAGGTCTTTTTTTTTTTTTTTTTTTTTTTTTTTTTACTTTGGCCGTTCTTTGCTGCGGCCTCTCCCATTGTGGAGCACAGGCTCCGGACGCACAGGCCCAGCGGCCATGGCTCACGGGCCCAGCCGCTCCGCGGCATGTGGGATCTTCCTGGACCGGGGCACGAACCCGTGTCCCCTGCATTGGCAGGCGGACTCTCAACCACTGCGCCACCAGGGAAGCCCTGGTCTTTTTCTTTTAAATAAACATTTTGGTTACAATTTTATTTTAGAGGACAATTCTTTTTTTATTAAAGTATAGTTGCTATACAATATTATGTAAGTTACAGGTGTACAGTCTTTTTTGTGACTGAGTAGTATTCCATTGCAGATATGTACCACATCTTCTTTATCCATTCATCTATTGATGAACACTGAGGTTGCTTCCATGCTTGGGCTATTGTAAATAATGCTGCTGTGAACGTTGGGGCGCATGTATCTTTTTGAATTAGTGTTTTTGTTTTTTCCGGATATATACCCAGGTGTGGTTAAAAGCAGGTCACAGACAAACCCTGTCCTTCCTCCTGGTTGAAGGGCTCATGGTGTTGGCAGCTACCCAACAGCCTCTGAGAATCATCTGTGTCCACCTCCCCTCTCATTACAATGGCTTGTCCTCAGCCTCGTTGCTCCTTGGAGGCTTAGGGCTCCTTCCACTAGAGGCTTTCGCTAGTGAGACCCTACACTGGCCCTTTAGATGGCTCAGGGGAAGGTGCCATAGAAAAGAGAACCAGGGGATTAAAGAACAGACAAGAGAAGAGTAGTCTGTCCAAAGACACAAAGGTAAGAAACAGCATGGCTCCTTCAGGGAACGGTAAGTCAGGCAGCCGAGAACGGTGAGAAAAGGGAGGAAGGTCAGTTAGGGAGGACCAGAATGATGGATGGTCTTAAGTGCTATGGATATTAACCCTCAAGCCAGAAGCTCTTAACCTGAGGATGGTAGTCTCTTCAGGTGTCAATGAATGGGTTTAAGGAGCTCCATCAACCCCCTAATATTATATACAAGGTGCGTATATTTTTCTGGGGAGAGTTTGTGGCTGTCATCAGATTCTCAAAGGGGTGATTTGCAGAAGCTTAGAACCATGGGCCAGGACTGTTCTAGGCAAAGACCACCGAGGGTCTGAAGGGGGGCAGTGGCAGAGAGGCGAGGAGGGAATGGATACAGTTGAGGTTAGCAGGGTGGGTGTGGCAGGATTTAGTGTCCCAGGAGATGGTGGAAATGAGACAGAGGGGGAAATTCAGCTCGACTGCCTGGTTTCTGGCTAGAGGGACAGGAGGGTTTAGGGAACATGGTAAGTTGGGTAGAGAAGGTCACGATTGTGAGGGAGGGCTACCATCATCCATCATGCTCTGAGGAAGTGAACAAAAGACCAGGCATGTTTCCGCTGGTAATTTGCCAGCCTCTGCCATGGACGACATGACACCCTGCACACCTTCCCCAGAGCCAGGGGTGTGCCAGCACCCGGGCTGTTGTCCATCACCACGAGCTGCTGGGCGTCTCTCAGCTCTCCGGATAAGAGCTCCTCTGCGCTTGGGGCGGGGGCTGGCTCAGGCCCAGAGCCCGGCAGGCAGGGTGTTCTGACTGTTTGGAGACACCTGATTTGTTGGAGAAAACAGTCTTTAATAGCCCAGAAAGAACATAGCTGCTTCTACTCAACGGTCTGGTTAGAATAGTTCCACTCAGTCACTAGTTCGCTTTTATTAAGACCCCATTCACGAAACAAACAAGTACCATCTCTTTTAAAACCATTGGTTTGGGTCCATATAAAGGCAAAGCCCTTATGTATTTGGAGAGGATGGTTTTAATGAATCTAAATGGAAATGGTGAGGAAAAGCGCAACAGGTTTCTATTAACGTATTTTCAGCTGAATCAGGAACAAAAATGAGTTACAGAGGACAAAAATCTTGGGGAATTCCCTGGCAGTCCAGTGGTTAGGGCTCCACACTTCTGCAGGGGGCACGGGTTCGAACCCGGGTCAGGGATCTAAGATCCCGCATGCCGTCTGGTGCAGCCAAAAGGAAAAATCTTGATGAGTTGTGTGGACCTGGTGAAATATGTCACTTTAATACAGTTTGAAACATTCAGAAACCTTTGTGTTGACTGTATGTCTTATTTGAAGTCCCCAGCGCTCCATCCTCTTTGAAGATTGTTAATCCAACGCTAGATTCTCTCACTTTGGAATGGGAGCCACCAAGCCACCCGAATGGCGTTTTGACAGAGTACACCTTAAAATATCAGCCAAGTAAGTTATGGGGAGAAGGAAACAGGGAAATATGGTTTACGAAGGAAAAAGACTGTTATCTTAAAATACAAACGGGGTATTTCTTTACAGCTGTAGAATATATACATATACCTTCAAGAGTCATTCTAGAAGGAACTTCAAATCATACTTTTTAAAGAAAAGTGACATGTGCTTTTGAAAATTAAATAACGTGTAGAATAATACAGACCTTGAGCACGGGGTTTAGGTGCGTGCTGTCATTATGTATGTAGGCGTCATGTATTGTATAACCAGCAAATGGTAAGAAGAGGGGTTTCTTTGGCACAAGGCCTCTGAAGATGAGATTTAGGGTTATTTAACAACCCATGACTCCACCTGCAAAAACAAAGACATGAGAAATGCTATTGCGGTTCAACCAGAAAATTCTCCCAGCTTAGAAGCCCATGGAAAATGTATTTCCTCTTGTTACACCATATTATAGGATTTTTTTTATGGTTTATCCCATAGTTGATTTTTTAATATTTAAAACATATGCAAAAACAAAATTAAATATCTATGTATATATATATATTTACATATATACATACATATATTAATATATGTATTTGTATTAGAATCGCAGTGTGGACCTTGAGATTATCTTTTTAAAAAAGTTTTATTGGAGTATAGTTGATTTATAATGCTGTGTTAGTTTCAGGTGTATAGAAAAGTGAATCAGTTATACATATACATATATCCACTCTCTTTTTAGATTCTTTTCCCATGTAGGCCATTACAGAGTATTGAATAATGTTCCCTGTGCTATACAGTAGGCCCTTATTAGTTATCTATTTTATATGTAGTAGTGTGTGTATGTCAATCCCAATCCCCCAATTATAGGACTATGTAAGGTTATCAATTATGTCGGACAATGAGTGAGTAGGATTACAAAAGTCAGTGTAGTCCAGGTTTAACATTTTTGGTTGACACATTTATTTACGATAGTATTCCTACAGCAATGAATGGCGAATGCACTTTGTTCTTTTTTTTTAATGGAGGTAACATTGGTTTATAAAATTATGAAAGTTTCATGTGTACAACACTGTATTTTGACTTCCATATACACTACAGCGTGCCTACCACTAAATGTTTAGTTTCCATCCAGTTGACCCCTTTACCCATTTCAACCTCCCCCCATTCCCCTTCCCTTCTGGTGACCATTGTTCTGTTCTCTGTATCAGTGTGTTTGTTTTCGTTTGGTTTGTTCATTTATTTTATTACTTTATTTTGTTTATATTCTTATTGACAGTTAACAGCACCCATGAATTAGGCCCTCTGGTGGATTTGAAAATTCCTGCCAACAAGACCCGCTGGACTTTAAAAAATTTAAATTTCAGCACTCGGTATAAGTTTTATTTCTATGCACAAACAGCAGCAGGATCAGGAAATCAAATAACAGAGGAAGCAATAACAACTGTGGATGAAGGTAAGATGGGTATGTATAAAATCCATATAACTAGACGTATCGTGAGACAAAAATCTTTATGTTTATGCTTTTTCTTTCCTTCTTACCATGGAAGTATCCATGTTACCCAATTAATACAAACACTTATATGTAACCTCTCATTCTGATACATATATGTAAACAGCTATTTAATTCATACTGGAATAATGATTTGGTGTTTGTTTTTTAAGTCCCTATGAAATTTTTCAACTTATATTAAAATATTGAGGTGAGAGTGGGAAATTACAGTATTTTGCCACACTTAAATTCAAAGTTCACGGCAATGTTTTTTCCTATCTACAACTTTACATATATACACACACACATATGTGTAATACACACACGCACACACAGACATGCATACCTATACACAAATAAATATATGTAACTGTGGTTCTGATCTTGATTCACCAGAAAATAATTTGCTAGTCTACATACTGATTTAGGTTTTCTAGCAAGGAAGTCAAAACTGTTATCAAATAAAGCATTTACTTTGTGTTTGAGCATGGGACTTCATAGTTTGCTATGCCATCTGGTACAGAAAGCAAAAGAGCCCCATTAAAGTGTTTAGATAAAGAATGAACACTTCCTTTAATACTTTTAAAAATGATTTTGAAAAACTTGAGATTCGAAGAAAATGATCAAAAGCATTGTAAAAGATTTTGCATGTCTCTAAATTGTAGAATTGCTTAAGGATCATTTATTTGATTATCTTCCATAGCATAAGAAATTGACATTTTTACCCCAAAATTGGTTTGAAATCTCCTAAGCCTTCTTACATAATAGGCAAGTATGAATAAAGCACTTTAAGTAATGTGGGGATTTGATTACTGGTAAGTTTGGGAACAAAAACGTACCTTTGTCCCCTGTACCTGATGTGGTACACCCCATTCTTCTTGCATGCTTTAGCTTTTAAGAAGTGTTTTTATGTAGCTTTACATGCTAACTATATAGTGTCCTATTTCTGTTTCCCTTCATGAAAGCTGGTATTCTCCCACCTGATGTAGGTGCAGGCAAAGGTAAAATCATTCAACTGCATGACTTTCTACATGTGTGAAATTTGCCATGTTAACCGTGGGGAAGTGCAGCATGGGTTAAAAGAGAAAATATTTAAAATAAGCTTTGAAGCACCAAAAGGAAGATGAGATCCTGCAAGATCTTGACTTTAAAATTCATATCTAGTCCTTTTTACAAGGAGAAAGCCACCCATTGAATTCACCTTTTCTCAAGACTTATCCCAGGTCCAAATCCTAATCTTGGCTTTTAATGCTATGACCGTGGCTAGACCAGACAGGACCCAAACTGTACCTTTGCCACAGACCCTCATGATGGCCATGCCGTCTATGAAGGGTTCAGAAATGTTAGTCCTGTGATAAAAACAGCCAGTCAGAAATCAGACCCACCGAGCTTCCTGTTCTAATCTGATTTACCTGTACTCCTCCTAGACACAGTGCACACGTTGCTGGCATCACACTACACTGTCCACCTGGAATTTCAGCTTAGCCGCACTCCAGCTGCCCTGGGACTGAAAGCCTCCCCAGTGGGCTCCCCTCTGACCAAGTGTTCAGGCAGCCCGCTTGCTCTGCTCAGCTGTTATTCCATTTCTGTCTTCGCCAGACTGCTTAAGTCTCCTCCTGGGGAAGAGCCGACAGTCACAGTGAATTACTCTTGTTCTCCTTTATTGCTCACAGCTCTCTGGATGAGGAAGATTGGTTGGGAGAATGGTGCCGGAATGAAGTGTAGTATTTCTTCCACCCAGAAATCCCCCAGTCTTTGACTCTTGGCTATTGGTAGATTTGTCAGCTTTTTAGGGAGCAGTGGAGGCCGCCCTGCCTCACATGGCACTGTTCCCATATAGAGCACCCCTGGCCAGGGATTTTCTTGGGCTTTGACAGACTAAACAAGTACAAATTGGAATGAAGAAAAAGTCGACCAAAAGAAATAAGTGCTTTGCCCTAAGTTGTTCAAATCTTGGGAGCTTAGGCCTGGTCATATCTTCTCTTTTCGTACAAATCTTATATTCGGAGTCTTGGTAAATTTTAAAATGTAGATCAGGTAGATTTGGGAATGACTGAATAAGAACTGTAACCATTTTCAATCATCTTAATAATGTTTTATACGTGTTTTTACCCTTGAAAGAACAAAATTGTAAACATCCAAAATGTTCGCAAGATCGTGGAAGGATGGAACCTCTCTTTTATAAGTGTGCTTCTTTCTGGGGATGATTAGATATCCATTAAAATCCGTGGTGGTTTTACAATAATTTACTGCTAGGCTCCCCTTAGACCCTTTCATGGGAGCGTTCCAGAGAAAGCGTGGCCTCTTTCCCTGCGCAGTGGCCATGTCACTGGGGCTCAGCCTAGAGGCAGTAGCCGATTACTTGAGCTGCAGCAGGGCGGTTTGTGTTTTCCGTTGACTTGTCATATTGGAAGAGGACGTGCATGCCCCTGGGAAAAAACATCACCCGCTGATTTTAACGAATTCAGACTAACTAAAAGAAATGTCAGTTAATATAGTTGAGGTTTTACTGTTTGATGTTACTAAATTGAATTGTGAATTACTTCTGATTATAGAGACAAGCAAAAAGAGAGTCTCCGAAGGTTCTTAAAGCCCCCAGTGTTGAAATCTGGTGGGACTCAGATAAAAAGAGAAATGGTGTTTCAATCTTTTTTTTTAAAAGTTAAATCTAACCTTCTTTTCTATATTGTTTCATTTCATAGTGCATCAGTAAGTAAACATTACTTACATAAAATGATAATATTTTACCATGATGAGACTTTAAACTGCTTGAGAATAATTTGTTTCCCTGGGTTTCCCTTCCTTAAAAATATTTCTTTTTTCAATCTAGGAATGAATTCTGTCCTCTTCTCTGTTTTCCTTCTTCGTGTAGAGTTTAGGGACTCTCTGGGAGACAAGAAAGATAAAAGTTCTCCACAATTCTTCCCAATTTTAGTATTTTTAATATACCTTTTATATATTTTTTTTTTAATCTTTTATATTTTAATTTGAAGCAACATGAAAGAGAGTAAGTAAGAGATGAACCATTGAGAGAAAAGAGGTGTGATATCCTTGGCCATAGAAGCATCAGCCTCTAGGGATTTTCATTCACTTCTGAAGAGAGGAAAAGAGATGGCTTGGAGTTTACATTTTTAAATTTTCTTACAGATTTTAAGAGAGGTGAATGAAACCCAAGCTTCCAAATATACAATTACATTGTGTACATTTTGTATACAATTACAAAATGATTATCTAAACCATGAAGTAGAAGCCGGGAGAGTCCAGTTAGCTGTTTTATGCCAGGCTAACCCTTTTCCTTACCGTTATCCTCAGTTTGAGCGTGGAAATAGGTACTCGAAATCTTCAGGAGTCACTTCCTTTGGTCTGTGTCTTTGTTTGGTCAAAACTCTCAATATCGGAGTAAGAAACAGTAGATGTTTTGCTCCTTTTGTTCAATTTCTTTGTCCCTTTAAATAACTTCAGGGTCTGGGGTTCTAGGAAATAGACCTGTGAAGCCATCTATAGAAATGAACTGAAACCACGCAGATAATGGATTTGACTCATGGTCCCAGTATTGCTGATGGATGGACACTGCTTTATCTGTGGATTATTATCTGCTTTCTCACCTTGGGACCAGTCATCAGGACCCTTTTGTGAGGTGACTAGTTGGGGCACAGGAATAGGGAGAAACTAACTGGAAAGTCAGGAACTGAACCTGGCTCTTGACTTAATTAGCAGCCGACTGTGGTCGAACAGGACAGAGCAGAGGAGGGCACTGAGGCGCTGGTGACGAATCCTCTCTGTGGTCAGACTTTCACTGTATCATTATACCAGAGTCCACTGCACAGCTACCACTTAGGTCAAGAAACGAGGCCAGTGAGTAAAACTCAAGTTTAAAGTTCACAACTTTATTTGGTGTGAACCAAACCAAACCAAACAAACAAACAAAACAAAAATCTCCAACTATATAGAAGGTTCAGTCAATCAACAGTTCGTGTCTATCTGGCCCATAAAAACCATCAGCCTTTTTAAGGCACTGTGTGTTGGCACAGTAAGGCAGACTCTGCCTTTGATGTGCTTACAGTCTGGCAGATAAGACAACACATAAAAGAGTGAAAAGAGATGGAATTTGAACAAAATGTTACCTGAGCTTAGAGGAGTGAGCCATTTATTTTGCCAAACAGGATCAGGAAAAGCTTCCCAAAGAAAGTAATATAGAACTTGAAGGACGGATAGAATTTTGGCAGATGAGTCAGGGGGGTGGGGTGTATAAATTCTTAGGAGAGGGAATAAGCCAAGGCATGGGGTTTAAAAATCCACAGGATGTTTGGGTTATACCCAGCGATCCACCTGCGGGCAGAGGTAAGCCATCCACATTTGAAACAGGGAAGTGACAGGATCAGAGATGTAGTTTTGGAAGCTAAAACGTAGGTAACCACGCTGGTGGGCTGTACAAAGAAAGACTTAGAGTAGGAAGAGAGATTAGATACAGATTTAAGAAAGCCTAGAGGAGAAATGACACTAGCACATCCAAGGAAACATTGCCTGGCATGTCACAGGTGCTCAATGAGTTCAGTAAGTGCACGAGTGGGTATTAAAAGCAAGGAGGGTTAAAATTCTCCATGATAAAAGGGGCCAAACCACATAACCTTAGGAAATTGCACTGTCTTCTCTGGGTGTCTTTAAAAATAAGCTGATTGCTCTTCTGTTGGAAGGTATGGTTCTGCCTTGAACATCTTCCATAATTACCCCAAGACTAAATTCCTCAGTTTCATGATTCCAAAAATGTTTAAAGAAAAGTAATGTTTTGCCTGGGTTCTTTGCCACTAATGTTTTACACACATGTTCATTAGTACTGTTGTAAATATGTCTCTGTTGATTGATCATATTCCTATCATTATTCCTTTAAGAGGAGAACCTCAGACAACTGAAGTCAATTAGGTCCACAGAAAGACTATATAAAATTCCATAATCAGTTTTGTTTTCTGCTGTTTCCCACCCTTAGTACAGAGGGGCACACAGTATATATGTGATGGTGCCTTAGATCACAGAGGTCAAATGCATTATTGAATTTCTTTAATATACTTCTCTTTTTGATTCCAAGAAAGGCTATTTCATCGAATTTGTTGCAGTAGAGGGCTTTAGCTTCTAAATTATATAACATACTTGGGAATTTTAGAGTCTGAGTAGCCCATTCATGCTTTCTGGTTTACTATCCTAGGATGTTTTCCCAGGGATAATAATTGATCTTATCATTGCTTAGCTATCCAAGTTAACATAGCTGTAAATATGTCATTTTTACTTCAGGCTATTGAGGAAAGGCTGATGGAATTGTCAGGCTTAGGTAGCCAAATGACATCTTTTAATGACTGTAGATGTCATCTTAACTAGGTGAAAAGCATGTAGCATCGCGCAGGCTCCATAATTTGGTGTTTCAGGCAGCCGTTTAGATTGCATTGCACTATGATTTTTCAGAACATGATATGTAACGAACTCAGCAGGTAAGATCGTCTTGCTCTTTGGGGTGTGTCAAGTGAAATAGTTCTTCTTCCTTTTATTTCTTGGTTCTTCACTTCTGATGAAGAGTATTGGGCATTTTTTGTTTGTTTGTTTGCGGTACGCGGGCCTCTCACTGTTGTGGCCTCTCCCATTGCGGAGCACAGGCTCCGGACGCGCAGGCTCAGTGGCCATGGCCCACGGGCCCAGCCGCTCCGCAGCATGTGGGATCCTCCCGGACCGGGGCACGAACCCATGTCCCCTGCATCGGCAGGCGGACTTTCAACCACTGAGCCACCAGGGAAGCCCCATTTTTTTTTTTTTTGCAGCTTCTCTTCCAGTGTGCCCTAACTATCCACCTTCTCCAGAGTAGGTGCTCCTCACATGGGGTCCCTGAGCTCCCTAGAGGCAGATTCTTAAAGAAATGTGTGACTCAAAATAAGTCAGAAGCTGGTATTCTAAGGAGCATCTTTTTCTCACCCAACACAAATTCCTTAAAGACCTGCACTGAGATGATAAATAGCGT